TCTAACACCATCTGATTAGTTTGATTACTGCCCGATTTAATCCGTATATATAAACTTATTGTATTTATAAGAACTGTACCTATAAACTGCTGTTAAGCACCCTGAGTCCCATTTGGGGGAGGGCAGTATATAAATCAAATACATTATCATCATCAAAGTCCTGGAATCAACGAGGCCCATCAGTGAGTCCCTGGGTCTGAGTGGAGGATAGCAACCCTCTGAAGCTAGACAAGAGACTGCCTGGGAATCCTGTGTAACCTTGCCTTGAGGTTCATGGTAAAAAGGAGGCTGGGTATAAATTGATATGTAAATATGTTGACTATCCCCCGCCTCAAAGCAGGTGCTGAACGGCAGTCCACTGTGACCAGGACTGGGAAAGCAACAGGCACTCTTACTTACATTGCTTTGGTATCCTAAGGGCCTCGTTGTCGGCAGACATCACTTGGTGCAGAACTCCTCGGAACTGGTAGAGCACCTTCAGACTCTTCTCCTCCCCGACGCAAGGGTCATAGAACCCGGGCAGACCAGCCTGCAAAAGGGATATTGCCACAGGCTCAATCCAAGAGGGTGGCAATGGACATCCTATCGCAGGAGTTTTCTGTAGCTGGGGGTGGGCACAGTGCACAGAATCCACAGTGAGTGGGGGAAAGGAGGTTAAAAAAGCACTCATGGAAGCCCTATGTTGTTTCTCAAGCATGAATCTTTTTACTATGTGTAAGGAGCTGGCACCTTTAGACCTAAAAAAGCAACCCCCGGGCAGCCACCCCTCCCTGGGTACTACATCTGGAAGGGGGAGGGATGTGTGGGCCGATCTAGAGTGCCCCCTCCACCCCTGCCACATGTCTCCCTGGTCCCTACCTTGGATGCCTCTGTGAGGATGAGCTTGGAGTCCTTCACCAGGCACTGCAAGGGCACCGTCACATCTATGACTTTCACCTTTTCATGCTTCCTGCTCTGGTCGTTGACGAACTTCCCGTACCAGGCATTCACCACAATCAGGCCTGCATTCAAAAGAGAGGGCCAAATGCTTAAGACAAGTGTCAGGCAAAAGGTGGGGCATTTTGACAGAGGAAACATCTTCTTGCTATATCCATATCACATCAGTAGATGAAACTGGTTCCCTAACAAGGATTAGGGCTTTGGAACGGGCAGCCTCACTGTCTCACCAGCAGGGCTCTGTGTGTGTGTATGTGCGCACATAAGAAAATAAGAGACACCAATGTTGGATCAGGCCAAAGGCCCATCTAGTCCAACACTCTGTCACCCAGTGGCCAAAAATACCAGGTGCCATCAGGAGGTCCACCTCCTGATATTCCCTTCTTGCCTGCCTGACCACAGACTTGCATTTTATTTGCCATAGCCTTTGTTTCGTTTTATCAGCCTCACTGTGACTAGCTTTCCACTGCTTAAAGGAATCCTTTTTACCTTTTACAGCTTCCCTTACTTTGTTTGTTAACCATGCAGGCTTTTTCCTATACCTGTTTGTGCACATGTGCCTATATGTATATACATGTCTGTCTGTCTATAGATATGTGCACACTTATGCTGAAGAAGAGAAAAAAAGTCCAAGCTCTATGCCAAGAATAGCATTGATACGTTATGCATAATTATCAAACGGGGCAAATAAATGCTGCTGCCTACTCACTAGGAATCCTCTCTGGCCTTTCCCTTCCAGCTCTCTTATTCACACAGCCCACAGGGGCTAGAAACTTAAGAAGAACAAGACTCTCAGGACACTGAATTCTGCAGCAAAGACCGGTTGCTAAGCTGGCACAGTTCACATGACAGCCCTGCTAACTGCAAGCCAACTGGAGCAACCTTCACTTTCTTAAGTCACCTTTAACAGCACCAGATGCTTTTAAATTCACTTCAGTGTTGCCTTTTCTCATTGTGTGTGTGTGTGTGTGTGTGTGTGACTGTGGGGTGTGTGTGTCACAGCAGGATGGACAGTGGCACCACCATGTCTTCGCCAGCCTTCACCCACAGGTACTGAGGAGCAGGGAAAGCAAGTCAGAGACCCCCCTACCCATTCTCGCTTCCTCCGTCTCGATTATCCTTCGGACAGATTCCTGCATCAACCGCACCTAGAGCAGCACAAAGAGAGAATGTGGAATTCGCCCTCCTGTTCAGAGGCATGGGAGATACAGAAAATGAGAAAAAGGAAGCACTGTGACAGAAGCAGACCAAAGGAAAAAAGAAAGTGTATGGGGAGGAACGAAGTAAGTTTCTCTGGAAAGATCAGGCAAATATAAAACTTGAGGGAATGTTTTCATTTTGCTGATGGGCACTTGGACATCCTGCCATAAAAACCAGCAGATTGTGCACAAAAGGGCACCATTGTGAGGTACTGCCTGTCGGTAATTTTAGCAATTTCTGACATTTCACCAGGTGCCACGGCTGTGTTTTGCTGCCATAAGGACTAGAACCATTACTTTTTCTTATTAAAAGGGAAGATAAGAATGACCTCAGCGTTCTCTTTCAGAGGTTTCCCCCATGATTTAGAAAAAGGAGCTGGGGATCGAGCAACTCCTTCCCCCCAATGGGGCTGCAACCCTGCAGTTGCTTAGCCACAAGGAGATAAATGCCCAGTGTAACTGGGATCAGCTCTTTATGGGTGCTGATGCCCCAGCTAAGCCCTGGTGATCTCTGGATCTCTCCCTGCCCAGAGATTCTTTAACTAGTGATGCCAGGGCCTGGACTTGAAATGTCACCACACACTCCTGAGCACCACTCTATCACCAAAAACCGAAGCTTTCAAATAAAGGAAGCAGACATGGGCA